CACGTGTCATTTCCTAACATGCTTCCCAGCATTAAACCAATCCCAGTCCATGGAATTTTCAGCTGGAAACACTGGTTGGCTTTCAGCAGATAACAAAATTTCACTGACTGCTTTGCACGGAGCTTCCTCTATGGCTGCTCCAAGTTCTTCCTCAGGATGGTTCATCAAGATAAAAGCCAATGAGCACTCACCTGAATCTCAAAGGATTCAGATAAAAAAGCTTTAAGACAAAAGTTAATTTTTCCATGTATTCCAGCCCTTTGGGGAGGGTGTCAGAACAGCCTTCCTGCTTCCAAACAGGGAGAGACAAGTGGATAGAGAGGATTTATGCACCTAAAATCAGGCTCTGCATGACTTTTGGGGCTTTTGGTCTGAGAACTGGGGAGCTGCTTCATCAACTGTAGCCAAGGCTTGGAGAGCAGAGTCATCACAGCCACGTTGTCCTTTCACAGGGCAAGTTCAGTAAATCCATAATCTAAGGGATTTGGATGGGGTTTAATTTTCCTAATCAGCTTAATTCCTGACAACAAAGTGAGAGATCAGATTGTTTTAAATGGCAGGATTCCAAGCAACAAACTTCAGTGTAAGTATTAATGACAGCAACTTGGGATATTATCTGGGAATTATTTACTGTCTGAAAAAAGTTCCTGGTTTGAAAACGAGTTGAGCAAATTTCTATTTATAATTATTTCATTTCAGGGCACATCCTGTGGAGCTTTTTCAGGAAAATTTCTAGGAGCTACAAGAAGAATTTCGGTATAAATATGCTCATCAGTACTTGATCTTTATGAACAATAACCTTTGGGGTTTGGGGGGTTTTTAGGTCAATGCTTATGAGCAAGTGACATCACCAGAGCACAGATCACCAGTTATTTACCCTTGTGCAAGTAAAAGAGTGTCAGTTATTGATGCTTCAAAACACACTGCAGTATTTTTATATTGCATCCAGAGACCTCAAATTTACATCTGAAACCTTTTGTTTCAAGTGTCTTATTTGTAAAATGAGCTTAAAGCAATATTTAGCTACTTCATGGGGTTTTGTTGCTAAATTACTGCTGACTGCCCTTGACTAAAGTATTTCAATGGGCAAAATTCATCCCTTAGTAAATAGGCAGCAAACGTAAAGGCTTAAGCCATTTAGCATTCCCTGCAATTATTTCAATGTGCACCCAAACAAACCCACTGTTCTGCTTAGACATCTCGTGTCAGGTGCAATAACATGCTGTGACATGAAATATTCAAGTTAGTGCTAAATAAAATTATTATTTGCACAAAATATTCATACCTGCATAAGTCTGAGTTAGAGTTTTCAAAGGCTCTCCTTTTCTTTGTTACTCTGGGAAGAAAGTAGGCAGTTCACCTTTTGGGATATTCTCCTTGGGCAGTGAGCAGAGAGAGTGAAAAAATGAATATTTACATTTAGTCTGGTGAGAAAACTTACTACCTGAGCATTTAGGCAGCTTGAAGACATCTTTAAAATCAGGGAATCAAATCTTGGCTCTGTGAATATCCAAATCCAAACATCCGTGTGTGAGGCAGGGAAGGATCTCTCCAAGGGCTCTTTAAGCAGCCTCTTGGCTTGAAGCTTTTAATATGTTCTTCTCTAAGATGAGCAGCTTGAAACCTGTTTGTGGTTCTTCTGAGCATCATCATTAGCAGCAACTTCTTAAGCACAGGAGCATTTTCTAAGAACATTTTGAGGCTTTAGTTGTTGTACAGTGAGTGCCCAACAGTCTCCCTTTTAGAGACCTCACGTTTTTATTCACTTTGTCTTAACACCATTTTTTCCCTTCTCCTAAAATTGCTGTTTGGAATTGAAAAGCATGAATTCAAACTAGAAGACCAGCACACATAAGTGACATCAAGGCTTTTATGCATAGAACACCTTCCAAGTGACCACAGCTTTTATTTTGACTGTTCATTTATACAAATTAGCAGGAGCACTCTGCCTGTTGCCTGGTAATTCAAATAGGAAAGGGGAAAAAAAAGAGGAAAACTGGAAGGCAAAGTTGAGCCACTGCCCTAGGATATGATTGTCCCTTTCTGGGAGTTCAATTTTTTCCACTGAGTCTAGTGTTGGATAATCTCTACTCTTTATATTTTTGGTTCAAAGAAACTCTGGGAAGTTTCTGCCTTTGTGGAAAGATATTTGTATTTCAACCTATTTTTTGGAAACCCCTTGTAAGTGGTGGTGCAGGTGTAACACAGGCCCCTCTGGGAGCTCAGATCAATTCAGTGACCTGTCCCTGTAGGAGCTCCATTTCTCACAGCAGTTCCTGGGGCAGATTAGAAAACACTGAGACTCTGGACAGGATAAAGTCAGGGATTTCTTCTGGGAGTTTCTTCCCTGAGTCATGTTTTTGCTGAACAACACCAATGTCTCATGTGAGCTACAGAAATTTTCTTTCCTGTTACTGCTGAAGTACTGCTCATCCTACCAGGAGTATGCATTTTAGGGAAACAAAGCATGAAAACAGATTTCTATTTCCTTTTCAGTTTCTTTCCTTTTCAGGGAGCAGGTCTTACCCAGCTGAGCTGCCAGGAAAGGAAAATCTGTGCAGGATTTGACCCACAGCCTTACTTCCCACAGCTCAATATTGAGAGAATTTCACTGAGCAGAACTTCTTATAACACCACCATTCAGCTTTCATATTAAAAAATATGCCAAAAGTCAGCTCTGTGAGTTTTGTAGGGAAACAAATGATCCAGATTATTATATACAAATATATATTATTTACAAATATATTACTATATACAAATAAACCTGTAGCTCTTGCAGGTTGCTCCTGATAGTGCCAGTTTCCACAAAGAGGTTCATCCAGTGCTTAGATTTTTATGACTACAGGTTTGCAGGATAAAATCATCATCTGCTATGAAGGATTCCAAGGATATCATCCATATGGAGATTTTGAGCTTGTCTAAATAATTTGAAATAAATGTTGAGGTATAAAAACTATTATTCTTTATGCCACTAAAACTTAGTGATACAGTGATAAGTGATAAGACTTGAAAAACCCAGCCTTATGCTAAATAACACTTAAGAAACAAAGCACAAGGTAGAGAACAGGGTCTATTTATCTTACATATAAATCAAGAGGTCTCTGAAACGCACAGGCACTGAAGAAACAGCCTATTTGGGAAAATTGAAACATTTCTCCTCAGAAAGATCCCACTCCAGAGGAAAGTTCCCTTTCTGAAGGGGAGAGGACTTCTTGACAAGAAGATATTTGGACATTATTTTTTTTAATTAATGCTCCAGGATATTCACACAAAGACACAGATATCAACTACTATGCAGGATGTATTTTTAATTGGAAGAGGCCATGCCAGCTGAGCTATAAAACAAGCACAGGCTGTTAGATATAATAACAGAGAAAAAAGACTGGGGGAAAAAAGTGAGTTGTGAAAAAGGAAAGAAAAAAATCTATTTGGTTAAAAGAGACTTCCCAGGACTCTGGAGCCAAGGTAGAAAAAACCTGGAACTTATCATGACCATCACGAACACTACTCAGGGATGCAGGGATCTTGATACCATGGAAATGGCTCTTGTATTCAGGATTATTTTACATGATTCACATATAAATGAAGATAGTTCAGATTTTGGAGCAGTAATGACACACATCAAAACCTGCAAGTGTTTACAGTGCATGTCCATGTCCTGCATAGAGCACGGTGGGATAGAGAGGCAAGAAATTAAAAGGGAATTTCATTTTCCCCAGAAATAGGGGCGTAAGCTGCAGCTCCTGATACACAGATACATACCACTGACTTCAGGGTCAACCAAATCTCACTGATCTGATGCTGACCTGAGGCAAATATAGTCGATATTTCTGTAAAATTAAATCCCTTTATTTGCTTCTGTAAGTATTTTTATATAAAATTAGTATCAGAGGTACTAATTTTGCTTTTATTTTACTTCTGAGAAAGATGACTGCATGTGGTTAACTGGGAGAAAAGTCCTGACAAGACTACTGAGAAGCCAAAATTGTGCCCTTTGCAAGTCCAGACATGGAAGAGCTGACAGAGGGGAGCAACACTGGTGGTGCAAAGATGAGGGGTCCCACTGGCTACTTGGCTGCTGCTGCAATCATGGAATGGTTTGGACTGGGAGGACCTTAAAGATCATCCAGTCCCACCCCCTGCCATGGGCAGGGACACCTTCCACTAGCCCAGGTTACTCCAAGCCCTGTCCAACCTGGCCTTGGACACTTCCAGGGATGGGGAAGCCACAGCTTCTCTGGGCAACCTGTGCCAGGGCCTCCCCACCCTCACAGGGAAGGATTTCTTCCTAATTAGCTGCAAGAACACTTTTCTACCTTTTCCCAGCAGGCTGGGCTGGCAGTCACAGCTGTAACCCCCCGGGAGCTGCTGCTTGTGCTGTCCTTTGGAGCACTGAGGCCGAGACAAGAAAGGAAATCCTGGGGTTCTTCCATCTCCCCTTTCCAGTGTCCAAGAGTCTCTGCACTCGTGGTGATTGTCCTTTACCTATGTGACACCAGCACTAAAAATCTACAGCACAGCACCCAACTGGTGGGTGCCCAGCTCCTTCCTGGCCCTTTTCTTAAACTCCAGGACGTTCAGTGGTCCCATCTGGAGCAGCCAAGGACATGCTGGATATGGAGCAGTGTTATCTGCCAGCTGAGAGAGAGCTGTGATAATGTAATTTTTAGATATAAGTGCATCTAACCCTTTCAGAGGGATTAGCCCCAACTCCTTTTAGCACTGAAGTCAGGGAGAGTGTTCAGTATTTCCATCAAAACCCAAACACTGCAAGACCTGGGCAGTCAGACCTGAGATAAATCAGGTAAAACACCTTTTCTAAAACACTCTTTGCAGAACTGGTGAAGAGAATGCCAAATTTTTTCAATGACATTTTAAGCTATTTTCTGCTTTTAGTGTTTAAAACATCCATTTTGTCTTTGCATTTAGAGGCCCCCTTTCCCTCTCATTTATTGGAGCTCTAGATAATTATTCTCATTAAAAACATGTAAAAGCCAACAAATGTAACAGAAGTATTTTCTCTTTTGAAAACCATGGATAATCACCTCTCATATCCATTACTTAGATGCTTTGTGACACCTTTTTATTTTGCTTCTCTGACATTTTTGTCTTCCTGCAAATGCAAATCTCACATATTGATTGATTTCTGTAGCATTTTATCCCAATACATGACATTAGCCTTAAAAAGCACCATTTTATTGTACTACAAAACAAAACACCCAGCCAGATACTTTCTCCATTCCATACTAAGGCTTCAGTGTTTTAATAGCAGAAAAAAAAAAATAGAATTCTAGTTAAATAGTCTCCTCTGTGGGTAACAGTTCCCCATTTCTTTATTAAACTTGGGAAAGTATTATTTAGAAATCAGAAGACCATACAGAAACTTACTCATTGAAAATAATAGTTAAAACTGAGTCAGAAGACTGGGTATCAAAGGAGAAGATTGAAAAGAGAAGTTACAAAATGTCAGAAGTGTTTCCTTTCTAAATATACAGGAATCTCAAGGTGCTGTAACATGTACATCAGAAAAACTGAGAGGCTCTTAAGTCATCGGGATTCTACAAATACCACTTACAAATTACACATTATAAACTGGATATCTCTCAGAATCAGGTGTTCTGCTGTATAGATACTGGTTATGTGCTTTTTATCAATAAGTAACAAACCAAATAAATCTTGTTTCCTGGACTCCTCTTTCCCTCACCTCTCTCTAAGGTCTCCTTATGGTGTGACTTCAGCACAGGCCTTCCTAAAGTCACCAATGAAGGAAGATATCCATCCAAAGAGTTCTTGGGAGTCCAGGTCTTGTGGCTCCCCAAATTTTACCTGTAAATTTCAAAGACAAAAATATTTAATATTAGTGTATCCAAGGAATCTAAACCATGTCCAGGATCTTAATGAAATTTTAAAAAGCAAGATAAAAGTTAAATACCTTCATTACTGTTAATAGTAATATAAAAAGGAAGAAGAGGTGGACGAAGAAGGGGAAGAGGAAGAAGAAGAAAACTTTGAGCTCACTGAAATCTCCAGGGAATTGAAATCCTAAATATGGTTTATATTTCATGGCAGGTCAAAAAGTTTCCCTTTTCTGTCATTTTGCTTTGCAAACAAACAAAAATTATTCATAAGGAAGCAAACATTTTTGGGCAAGAAAGTAATTTATCAAAGAGCCTTTCCCTGTTCCTTCTTTAATCTGAAAAAAGTGAACAGATAGGAAGTTTTTAAAAAAGATGTGAATGATATTGGCAAAAAAATGAACAAATTCCTCCCTGTGAGGGTGGGGAGACCCTGGCACAGGTTGCCCAGAGAAGCTGTGGCTGTCCCATCCCTGGAAGTGTCCAAGGCCAGATTGGACGGGGCTTGGAGCAACCTGGGCTAGTGGAAGGTGTCCCTGCCCATGGCAAGGGGGTTGGGACTGGATGATCTTTAAGGTCCTTCTGACCCCAACCATTCTGTGATTCTATGAAATCCAAAGAACATGCTCCAAAGGCTTCATCAAAAAGAGACTCCAAGTTCTGATCCTGGCTGTAATTGAGAGCTCCCCTGTAATGGTGGGATCAGCTCTACCAAGGCAGAACAGCAATGAAGTTGTATTTCACAACTTTAAATTGCAGCTGAAATACAGGGAGGGGGAGGTTTGGGTAGATCTGGCATTCCCTTAAAGCATCCACCTGGACACCATCTAACGGCTCTTAGGAGCAAACCCTCTGCCTGGAAATCAGAAACACAGTACCAGAAACCACTCAAATACAATCCAGTCACAAAAACTTTAACATTAAGCAGTGACACCTGATTAATAGTTTTGCCTGTATGTTCCTAATTGCACCTCCTGGGTTCTCCAAGCCCTTCATCTCTGGCACATCTGGCCCATGGTGTGCCATCAGTTCAACAGTAATGAGAGAGGCATTTCCTGGAGCTAATGACCATCTGTGAGGAGCTGAGAGCCCACAGTTATGCCACAGGCAGTTGTCCCCAACTTACTGCTCATCCCACAGAAATGTCACATGCCAAGGTCACTATTGATTTCATAAGCAGGATATAAAAGCATCAAGGTAGGCCCGTGGAGTTTTGGGTTATGTGCAACATGATTTCCATGGCTACTCCAACACAATTCCAGATAAGCTATCCCAGGTGAGCTGGACTATACCTTTCTAGTGCTGTTGGGATGATAAGGTGGCCTTTGGTCACCCATCCTATTTTATATTTGCTTTACATTTGTTGATGCTTTTTAAACATGCAAAAGGATCTGCTTTGCTTGTTCAGAAGGAAAAAAAAATCATTCGAAAGGAGAGAAATACATCAAAAAAGTTATTTAGAGAATAACAGGGAAAGGAAGGCAAAAAGGAGCTGGCTTAAAGGTTGAGGAAACTTCCAGCTACATGGAAAATGAAATCCTCTTCAGATGCAAATAAGAGTCTCAGATGTTCTTCTTGGTTTTCAACTTTTTTGAAGGCTTGGGACAGAGTTCTCTATGTGCTGCAGACTAATCTGGCTTGCTGCCCTAAACTGAGGTGTTATTCCAGTTTGCAAGAGCCACAAGGAAACCCCTGTGCATTCTTACAATATTACTTTTAGTAAAACATCACTAATTAAATTTCCTTGGTCAAACATCTCTCTAATCTGCAGTGTCTGTTCAGGTAGGTCCCCAAAGGTCTTCCTGGCTGCATCTTCTGTGTAACATTTGCTTATCATTGAACTTCTCTGCTTTTAATCCCTCCCTCTGACCCAAAAAAAAAAAAAAAAAAGGAGATAAAAAACCACCACACTTAAAATCATGTCCCAGTCCCCAAACCAGGACATTATTCTGGTTTCAGAGGTCAGCACTGCATTTCAGCAACCCCCTTTCTTAAAGCCTCTGTCTGCTGTTAGATGAAGGGTTTTGTTTCTGTAACCTGTATGACTATCAAGCACATGGGAATTTCTTGTGCTTCTTTCCACTTCTTTCTTCCCCCTCTTTTTTTTTCTTAAAGAAATGTAGATTTATTTTCACTGCATTTTAATATGATAGGTACCAGTACGTTGCTATAAAGCTTCTTCATTTCATCACATCTTTTTGACAGCTGGGATAGATCCCCTTCATATTTCTGAATTAAATCCTGTAATAAAATAAAACTTCTTAATTTGCTGTAGGAGCATAATATTAAAGCAGGAATTAAACAGCAGTGAAAACAAGATAGTTCAAGTCAAAATTTTCATGTCACAAAAATTTCACATTTCACAAAAGAGAAGCCTACATCAAGCACACATATTTCCTTGCAAGTATTAAGACATCAAAGATGGAAAAAAAAAGAAACATCAAGGTTAGAGAATTTTAACTCCATTATTTGATGACATTACCTAAATCTGTTAAAACTGGCAGAACTAGATGAGCATCAGAAGGTCCTAATTTCCACCACATTTGGCCTTTTTGCATGTGAAGCAAACACTCCAAATTGCTGGTTCTTAAGGAAGCAGAAATAGGACCTTAGAAACTTAAGTTTTGGAGTTAAATTCCTTAATTATGGTTCCTTTGTAATCTATGTATTTTTGACAGCTGAATATGTATGGAAGAAGCACCTGGCAAGGTGTTCCAAAGGAGAAGGAAACTCATGGATTGAGCAGATGCTGACCCTGTCCAGTGCAGTTCAGCACAGAGATAGCTGGGACAGCAGAGATGGACGTGTCCACACCAGAGTGGAGAACCCCTGCACTGGCATTAGCCCAGTTCACAACCAGCACAACAGTGCTCTTGAGTTATTAATTCTCTGTGCCTGAGTTATCGACCCCTCTGCTGACTCCTGGCCAAAGCTGGGCTTCCTACAGCCTGTTCAGCTTCCTCCCCCTTATGTCCTCCAACCCATCTAGTTCTGTAGCTAGCAAGGGCGGAATAAACTCAGATCAACCTGTAATCACAAATTAGGCATGGCCTTGGATGATGCATGAGCAGAGCCATTTTAGATCAGCCTATAATCACAATTTAGGCATGGCCTTGGATGGTGTTTCTTGGATGGTCTTTTTAGCCAAGTAACATTGATAGGACAAGAGGAAACAGCCTCAAGTTGTACCAGGGAAAGCTGAGATTGGATATTAGGAAAAATGTCTTCTTTGAAGGGATTATCAAGCATTGGAACAGGATACCCAGGAAGTGGTAGAGTCACCATCCCCAGAGGGATTCAAAAGATGTGTAGGTGGGGACATGGTTTAGTGATAGGTTGGCAGTGATAGGTTTATGGGTGGGCTCAATGCTCTCAAAGGTCTTTTTCAATCTAAATGATTCTATGATTGTCTGTGCTATCTCCCCTTCTATCTGAAGGCAGAAGAAATCGTTACAAATTTATATGTGCTGAAAAATTCCTATTATTGCAAAGTGCTTGTCATGGGCCGCTATGGGGCTGCCTGTTCCTCCTCCACTCCATCCCATTTATCTGGTGAAGCAAAAGCAGGAGATGCAGAAACCCTGAAAACCCTTCCCACGCTGCAACTTACACTGTGAAATACTCTCAGAGGGGAATAAAAAACCACTTTTCCTCAAATGCTCCTGATTCCCTTGTCAGGACAGGTCTCAAACTAGCAGGTTACTCATCATTTACCTCCAGCCCACAAGAAAGTTGCAGCAACTTTACCTTTAGTTCCTTGCAGAACTGTAGTTCCTGGGGTGTTGCCTTGATTGACTTGGGTTTAATAAGCCTCCTGCACTGAATAATGTTTTCCAATTCTTTTCTTAAAACTAACAAAAGAGAAAGAAAAGGAGGAATTTCACCAGTATGCAGATGTGACCAAAGGACTGCAAATGTCTAATTTAGGACACAAGGAATATTTAGGAGAATATAGGCCTATAATATGTTCATCCAGGAATATTAACTTTCTATTTTGAAGCAGAAACCCTGAAAGGGGAATTTTATTATGGAAAAAGTAGTATGTGATCACATCACATCGCTGCAGAGTAATGAAGAGGTCGATAGCATGGTAATGCAGTGGTCATAAATCTGGTCTTTCCTGGCTCTGGGCATTGGGATTAACCATGAAAATAACACACTTCAAACCTATGTTTTTGTGCAGAAAGTTCAGGGTTCCTTTAAAGATAAAAGAACAAAAATTCTCTTCTATACAGCAGTGAGAAACGTTGTCAGTTGGCACTGAGCACAACACTGGTCTGCTATCCTGGGAGCTCCCACACTGGGAAACGGGGGGAAAGAGCTCACTGCCATCTCATGGCACTGTTCAATGGTGAGTTGTAAATATCTCCCCAAACCAATCTGACATTTGAACTACCTTATTCTCTTCCCTCCTCTCGACTTCACTGGTGTTGAACTCCTTTCTAAAGAAGGAAACCAGTCTGGTTCAAAGAAGTTCTTGAAGTCCAGGACTGAGCTGCAGGAAGTTTTCTCCTGGTGCATTCCCAGCTCCCAGAGAATCTGCTACAGCTGTGACTTCGATGGAGCATTTGCAGCACTTAACATTTGTACTCTATGATAAACTCTATTTACCATGGGCAGTATATATATTTTTTTTTGTATTTCTAAACCACCTGGACACACTTTAATATTTCTTTTTTTTTTTTAAATTCCTTCTAGGTAACATGGCAGCTTAAGCATCACCATAGCAACACTTCACCTCAACATTTTGAACCTTTACCTCTCTTTATGAACTACAGAAGTGCAATGAAAGCCTGTTCCAAATGACTGCACAATGTATGAAAACCTTTCTCTGGATGTAGAGACCACATTTACATACCATCAACTTCAGCACTGAGGCCCTTCATGGAAGCTGGAAAGGAAGAGAGGGGGAAAGACATGTTAATAAATATCATTCATATCGTGAGGATGGGGAGTTTCCACAGAAGTTGAAGGACTACATTTTTTTATTTGTTGATTATTTTTCCCCCCTCCCTCCTCTTACCATCAGGAACAGCTTCAAATTCTGTCAACTCCTGAGAAAATGTGGCCAGATCAGGCTCATGTAAAAGGATCTGTTCCACAAGGGCGTGAAGCAAAGTGAACGTCCTCTCTTTACCCCTCAGCAGAGGTAACTGCAAATAAGGCAGAGCAATGATTGACAGACTGAGCTGTTACACCTTAAAAAATAAATAAATAAATAAATGAAAGAACAGCAGGGCTGTTGATAGTTCCCAAGTAAGTCTGACAAGAGTAGAACACAACAAAATTAAACTTCTCCTTTTCAATCTGCCATTTCACACACATTCTTGATTAAGATCAGCTTTCCACTTCCATATCCCTTGACCTTCCTTGTTCTTCTGTGTCTTATTCACACAGATCTTTTTAAACTGAAGCTATCCTAATTGATTGCAACTGATTTTGGACCTCCAAGCAACCACAGTCATTATTCCTTTCCACTTAGAAGTAGTGTGCTGTGCTCATGAAGAGAGCAAAGTTCCTTAATTGAATCTGGGAAGATGCTCTGTGGCAGAAAAAGATTTTGTAGGCATTTTTCATTATGATAGATGTGGTATTACAGGCATTATATATATAAAGATAATAAAAAAAAGAATGCAAGTTTTGTTTCAGAATTGTCACTAGACTTATAAATCATTCACTCATATATTAAAGTCTCCAGATGGGAAAGATATCTTATAAAAACAAAGTAAAAATCCTTCTCTCTTCTGTTTACAGATGAGGCATAATTTTACAATACTATTAAAGGCACAAGCAGCTTAGGAAATTTGTATCTGTTTCTTACTTTTTAGGATAAGAAAATTATGTTCCGCAACTGCTGGATGGAGGAAGGGGGAAAAAAACCCTATTTTCAGCAGCAGCATTTTCTGATGGCAAATTCTGATGAAGAGGGGAAAGCAGGTTGCTTAAAACTAATGGAAAACTCAGGCTAATGTCACACAAGTGGTAGGTCAGTGAAGAGGCAATTAGAGAATTAAGAACTAGAGGATGCTTTTTGTACAGCAAATCTCTGCCAGGAAAGAGTGAAGATCACAACTCCCACCTTCATCCCTTTTTAAATCATCCAGTAGAGCAGTGATGGGGGCTTAAAAACATTACAGGAAATTTCACTTTCTTTCAATTTGTTAATTTGTTTAAATTATGCTTTGAAATTTTACCTAAAAATGGCCATGTACCACTTGTTGCAAAAGACACTTTGACTCATGGAATCATAGAATGGTTTGGGTTGGAAGGCACCAACCTCCCCCCCCCAGGGCCTCACCACCCTCACAGGGAAGAATTTCTTCCTAATATCCCATCTAACCCTCCTCTCTGTCAGTGTGAAGCCATTTTCCCTTGTTCTGCTACTCCAGGCCCTTGGAAAAAGTCTCTCTCCATCTTTCTTGTAGCTCCCTTTCAGGTACTTGAAGGCCACCAAGCCCCCACCCAGTCAGTGCTGCTGTCTGAAATGGGGAAATGCATCTTTTTATCACAGACATTCAAGACTATAATGTTAAACAAGCTTTTTAAAGGCAAGAAAATATTTACTCACTTTGGCCAAAGATGACAATCGAAATCCTTTCGCCACCTCTTTTCCAGCCTTCTCGTTTAGATGGTTCCCAATGGCTAAAATGTACTCCAAAACAGCAACAAACTTCTGGCTGGATTGGAGCTGCTTGCTGGCTTGGATCTTCTGGTTTATCAGCTGAAAAACACACACAGATCTTCCTTCAGTTCAGATTGGAAATGTGGGTAAATCCGTGGGGCCCCTGTGCCAAAGCCTCGCTGTCCCCACCCGAAGCAAGTCACACCTCACCAAGGACATCTTCCTACTCAACTCCCCCAAGGAAACAGGCCTGGGGTTTTCAGGAAGAGCCAGTTAAAATACTCCCACCCAGATAAAGCTGTGTTGGCACAGTGACTCTGCCCAAAAGGAGGTCACATCCTCTCTGGCTGCCAAAACCACTTCAACTCATCTCTTAAAATGCCTCTGCAGAAGAAGTGTTTTGCTGTTTGAATGCACCAGATTGCACCAAATGTCAGGTACCAGGGGAAGCAGAGCCTGGAGCTCAGTGTAGGGCTCTCCAGCTTCCACCTCCCTCCCTTCTGTTTATACCAGCTGAAAACTGTTATCAGAATTCCTAGCACAGTTTCCCCACAAGGAAGAATAATGATTTCCTGTAATCAAACTCAATATAATTCTGTTTTCCCAGGGAAGCCACCTCCCTCCTAAGGCTATGGACACAAAGAGGCGGTTTTGTTTTCCACTAGGAAATTTGTATTTTTTTAGCACCACACCTCTTTTTGTCAGTCACCAACACACAAACTTAAAACCAGGGAAAGGTGGAAACACACAGGAGAGCTGAAAGCTGTTGTTAAAACATTTATAGCACATCTCAGGGCCAGAGAGGGCTGAAAGCCAGTATTCAGGTTGTCCCATAGAATTTTAAGTGTATATTCTATGATTTAAAAACAGGTGTTAGTGAGCATAAGTAAGAAAATAATTAGACAACTGATCAGTGAACATTCAATGAACATCAAATATCAGCCAAATCAAACAGTGCATCTAATAACTTCTAAATATTAAATTATTGGGCTTCATTGGAGGACAGCAAAGGTGTGGCAGTGCACTAGGCAGGGTCAGAAATCTGGGCATTTCCCCTGTGTTTTCCATCTGCTCCTCTTCTGAGCTTTGGCCACCATCACCATGGTTTTAGTCACAGCCAGACAAAGGATAATAACTTGGTCTTGCAGAACTTTCACATTTTGTTTTCATTCCCATGCAGAAGGAGAGCAAAACCTCTGAAACATTTTCATAGAAGCAGAATCGTGTCAAAATACTTGTTTTGAACCAAAGCATAGACAAAACCTGGCAGGGAAGGCAGTGGCTTGGAACAGGAAGGTCCAGTCATGAGAGTGTTTATTTGCATCCCCCCACCCTTAGGTCATCCTGAAAAAAGGTAGAGAGGGACTTGAGCTCTGGTTCCTGATATTTCAGTTCACTCCTGTAATCCTTAGGAGGAACATTCTCCTTCAGTCTTCTGCAAAGAGGAAATTTTCTGTGAGATGCTGGTCAAATAAACTTGCTCTATGTCTTTCAGCTTGTGCAAGAACCTCCCCAGAAAGGAAGTTGAATTTTAGTGGTGAAATTCACTTCTCACTGGTCAAAGAAAGAGGAAAGTTTAACAACATCAAATAAAAAATTTGAAAATCCTTTCCTGTTCTTTTCTCCCTCTTTTGTGGATTGCCAGGCCCATCAGCTACTGCTTCTTGCATCTTGGTGAAATAAGGATGATGTTAAATGCACATATTAGAAAAAAAAAGGATCTGCATTGAGATTATTTGGCCTTCTAGTATCAAAGGGGTAGATTCTGATGACAAACACACCGTGAAGGACTCATGTTACTCACAGGCTCCAAATCTCTCATGCTCTCAGGGAGCTCACGAACAGTGAGCAGGAGATCCAACCTCTGGCCTAAGTGAGGGATTTTACACATCTGCACAGAATTGAACAGAAAAGGAATCAAAACTCATGTTTATACCAAAACATGCACATATACATTGTAATTTATTGAGCAATCCAGCTACACTACAGTTTTCCTAATTTCTGTGCTTATTTATTAATGTTATTTGAGGTCTGTGGATTTACTGTGGCACACACCTGAATGTGCACATTTGCATATGCAAATTCAAATATGCTGGTATGGCCAGACATTATTAAAATCAATGACACTCCTTTCTTGTGAACAAGAATGTTTAATTACATATAATTTTCTACTTGTATATTTTGGAAACCTAGCTCAGAATAAATCAGCTCCTACTTTGGAGCAAGGGGAGGAGGCATGACTTGGAGAAGCAAAGGAATCCATAGAGCTCTCTTCTGATTATTAGAATATATTATCAGAATAATCTGAATATATATCAGAATAATATTATCAGAATAATCCTCTTATGCTGACTCTGGGTGAGATTGTAAATTTAAGTTCCAAACAACAGTGGTTTTACCTCAGAGAATGCCCTAGAAATGGCATGTGGTGACTTTTAATGCCTCTTACCTCTAACATAAACTGGTCAACCACGTGCAGCTCTGAACACGACCCCCTGAATGACTGGTACCTTTCTACATCTTTTGCTGTTGGCATGTATCTGTAAAATAGGAATTAAAATTGAATGTCCTCTTCCTCTTTATTCTGTATTGTTGTAACATAAAACAATCATTCCATTCCATGCATTGGAATTTCTTACATTTAGTGTGGTTTATGCTTTGCATGTTAATTCTTTAATCAGTGGAACTCCTGGCCCTGCACAGACACCTCAGCAATCCTTCCCTGTGCCTGGGAACAGTCATCTTCTTTAACATTGCTTTTGCAGGTTTTTTCACTTGCTCAAATAATGACAGCACATAACACAGACCCACAACTTCCTTCCTTCTGCACAAGACCACGGAATATATTCTCCAGGGTCAGAACTCCAGGGCCACAGATTTTTAGAAAATTGATGTCTTCAAATATTGACTCCACTTGGAAAAACAAACACATCACCACAGTTCTCCTTTGGAGATCTTCCTGCCTGTCTGAGTGCTCACTATGGGAATTCACAGCATATCTTCAGCAAAATGAAATCGATGTTATAGCAAACATATGAGAACGAGTGTAAAGAATCTTAAATAAGTATTCAGGTCTATCTTCTCTTTCTGTTCAAAAAACCTACTAAATTTGTAGCAAGTGTGATTAAACATTCATAGGGGTAGCTCTACGTTTTCATTAAAAGTAATATATTCAGAAATAGAAAAAATAAAGCAAATATTTTAGCATGTTAAATACAGGACAAGAAGTAAGATTTATTTTTTTTTACTGTTGTCAGTAATTTGACATTTCAATTCAATAATGTCTAGGGTTTGAATTATTAAATCTATATTAAAGCAGATTACAAAATAGTACTTTTTTCATCCTTTATCACAAAGAAGTAATTGAATTCTCATTTAAAAATAAGTTAACTGTTGTGAAATGGAAGGGTGTTTATCACTGAAAAAAGTTTGACTTTTTAAGCAAATTCAAACAACGTATTTTTAAAAACTGACAGCAAATATCTTCATTTAATCAAATGTCTGATATTCCATAAAATTGTTTAGATGTCTTATGTATATAAAAAAACCCAGCAGATTATCTAGGAGGTTTAAAGCTTAAAGCTCTGAACAATGGAAGCCATGAAAAATGAAGCACAAGAATATGTGAACGCATTCCATAAACATCTTTGTACATGAATGCAACTCTAATGGAATTTGCACAATGAAAAAAATCCCGTTGCTCTGAAAAAAAATAAGTTTAGAGAGACAAGGAGTGCTTTCCTATTGATTTTAAGACATCAGGATAAAGAATCATTCAGAGAATTACGGAAAGGTTTCCATGTCACATTAAGTCCTGAAGTTTCTAATAATATCCCACCACTGGACACATGAGCAGAACACTCTGCTCACAGGTCACAGTCTTGAAAATGTAATCCTGGGTTTGACTTTAAATATTTTTTCATTCTACAATAGTAGAATTTTGACTTCCTGCTCAGGCTCAGACAGTCTGACAGGAACAATTTGCACAGAGAGGGATTTTCCAGCCCTGGATTATCCTGTTTGAACTCCTGTCCTGACCACAGGTTCTCCACCGACTGGAGGCCACAGTTTTCAAAGGTAAAGTTTTCCACCATGACACCTAAATCAGCACAGGGAGTGCCGATGTTCCATGAGAATGTCTGTCTGCTCCTTTGATGTTCCACTCGGAAATCCGAGCCTTAATTCTGAGATGTATCTCATTTATTTCACTCACATTTAAAACCGCTGGGGTTGGAAAAAAATTATCTCCCTTTTACTGCAAGATTTGTACATGCATTCCTAGATTTTGGCAATAAATCAGAATGCCAGGGACAGAATCCTTGAACCCATAGCTTGAATCCTTGAAGCTGTAGCACATACAGCAAATACAGCATCCAATGCCTCTCCCACATTCCACTGCTAGAAAAATTTCCTCAGCATTATTGCTCTCAAAGAAAGACTTCAAGGAAAAAAAAACCAGGATCTTTCAAGCTTCAGTGCCATCATTATTACTATTATTATCTGATGGCAAGGAGCCCAGATGCTGTAAATCAGGGATCTCAGTGGTGTCACACTGGTTTCAGCAACGTGGAGATCCTGGACTGAACCTGCAGTGCTGCAGGAAGAGATTTCTTTTTTGAAGGAGCCTTTCAGATCAATTTTTGAATGGCAGCAGAGCTCCATCACCCTCAGTGGGGCCATGCACCTTTCCCCAGCTCATAATTGTGCACCACTGTGGGGTGTAACTGGTAAAGCACTGGGGCAGCAAGGAAACGTCCTCCAGAACACTGGGACATAAAAAATATGCAAATATTCAGCGTCCTGCCCATGTCCCTTCACACTTGAGGCAAGCTCTGCACAAGCCATGTGCATTAATGACATTAATTCTATGTTACCTGTCTCTTCTTGTGCTCACAACACTTCCTAGGTGCACAGATGATCCCACAGATCATTTTAAAATTACCGCCGATGTACTGATTTGGATCAGGATTTTAAGGCCAAAATTAAACTGATTCCATGAGAAGTAGAAACATCAATTATTTACTTCCTCACTTTCTTTGTCAACTTCATCTTTCTCCCAACTCACTTTAGCAAAACACTCTAGTATTTTCTCATTTTGAAGGAAGAAACAGTTTCACATCAAGTTTTCATGTATGAATATGTTTATTAAAGTGGTCCAAGTACCACATCAGGAATGGGATGTATAACAGATACTACTCTAGGATCCCACTTCTTTCCTTTCTCTCTATGTCTTAAACTATTCAAAAAGATACAATGCAGTTCCTATGAATTTCATATAGTTTGATTACACTCCTGAGTTCTGTTCAGTTTTGCTAAAGATACAGAAATTTGCATTCTGCTTTAAACCCACAAATCTCTGCCAGTCTGACATACTGATATCCTCAACACCCCATCACCTCATAAAGTTCCTTTAACACTTGTCTGCCTTCCTGGTCTCCAAACCAGTCTTAAATCTTTCATTTCTCATCCCACAATAGGTTGTAAGGCTGTAGTAAGAGATGCTGTAAAGTCTTCTCAAGTCAACACCTGCTCACTGACACAAGCTATTATTTTCCCAACTCTGCTCTTTGTAACTAGTTCACAAAATCATGGTGGATTTGCTGTCACTTTGCAACTCCCTTTCCTACAAAGATGGGGAAAAGTGATATTTTGGGATTGTATTCAAAAACCTCAGTTGCAAGGACTGATTTCTGTGTGCAACCTGATATCCATAGTCAGGATAAATCTCAGTCCATCCATGAGCTTCACATTATTTGCAGAAGGTTCTACCTTCTCCAAAGGGTATCTTATAACATAAACAAACAATTGAACCCCCCAAATTACCTCCTTAGTGCTGTAATCTGCTCATCTGTGAGTCCACCACTCTCCTCATGTATGATGTACAGTTTTTCTTTCAGCTCACTTGGTTTGATACGGAAACTTTTAAGAAAAATATCTGGAGGAAAAGGATTCTTAGATTACTTGGAAGGAAAATCACCAAAACATCTCATCTGTACTTATCAGATTTAGAAAAAAAAAAAAAAAGGAAGAAAGAAAGAAAAAAACCCATAACAAACAAATAGGAAAAAAAAAACCCAAAAAACCCAAAATATTTAGCAGCTGCTGTCATTAAAGCAATAACTCAATCTTTGTATTTTCCTTAAATTTACAGAACAGTAGTCAAGGAAAAACAAATTTCTTTCATAAGATAGTCAATGCTTAGGACAGAACTATCAAGATCCCATTTTGGGAAGGTACTCAATACTTGCTCCTGTATATTTCTCTTGTACTCACCTCAACAGTTAAAATAATTTTTTTCCACATAACAGTACAATAAGTTGGCACAATATTTTGAAGGTTAAAGGAATTACATTTTCCATTTGTTTTGATTTTGTTTACTCGCTTTGTTTAATTTCCAGCAGGAAAACTTACTCCCAAAATGAAGGCAAACTAGGAAAGAGAAGTGCTCACTTCTCCCTAAGATCCTAAAATCTGATAAAGAGTTTTTGTAATGTTTAAGATTTCTGTGCTGATAGAGGGCTGGCTCCTAACATTCATTATGACAGGAAAATGCAAATAAGATGCCTCCTCCCCAAAGAGGTGAAGGTCATTATTTAGGCAAGTAAAATTTTGTAAGGATGTTGCTCCCAAAAAGACCACTTTTTCTTGCCAGTTATTCTTTAATTACTGTCTGTCTCCCTCACTGGTACTGAAGGATGGAGGTACAAAAAAAAAGGAATCACAAGGAAGTGAACAAAGGGCAGCAGCAGAGAAAGGGAAAATGTTTAAATGCTTCCCCTTGTTGGCACGAGACTTGCCCTGGAGTCTCTGTTACACCAGAACTCCTCTGAGCAGCATAAAGGGATTGTGAAGGAGAATTTGGGAAGGATTTGTATGATTTACCTTCTTTTTAATTCAATTCTACAAAGGAACAGAGTTTTTCAGGTTAGAGGAACTTGCTGTGGCCCGAGGCAGCTGTTAATGGTTCTGGAGACTGTTGGCCAGTGGAGTATAGACCATTTATTCTTCCCCTGACACACTCTACACCCTTTGAATTTTGTTACAAGATCTGTGCTTTAGTGCTAAGCCTGGCAGAACTTTCCTTTTTTCCTTCTTGTGCTTTTTATGCCTCATATCTATTGCTTCCCTATGCCTTTTAAACCGTGCCTTTTAAACAGTTGTGGGGAATCACCATAACAGTGAATAACTCACAGAAAAATGTTGATTTTAAAATCTTCACAACCTGGCTACAAAGCGTTTAAAATCATCTTGAACGTTTTCAGTAACTGATATCAAGACACTGAAGAAATTCTAGTCATCAGACTGCCAAAGTATTTTCCCTGGCAAAATAAGGATACAATGTGGGAAAGTGGGTCTCATACAGAGAAACAGGCACCAGTCAAGACACAGAAGCTGGTATTTTGACTCCTAAATCAGTTTTTCACCCATTAGATCTCAGATTCTTGGATTAACATATACATTATAGTGTCTCCCAAAACTTTGCACTGGAAATCTGAGGATGTTTTTCTTGTTTCTTCCTGATACCTGTTCTCTGTACGGCAGAAATTTATTTTGTCTACAAGAACCCACTAGATAACTTAGCTTTTATTTGTATTTTCTCACACACTAGACTCAAATTTAGTGTATAGATCTACTCTCAGAACTCTCATTTCTCTCTTGTGTTCAGAAACCCACTCAAATTCTCCAGAAATATTAACTGACTGGCAATTTTGGAGCTTCATCCTTTTATTCGTTAATTTAAGAACTGCAGTTTGCAGCACTTGCAGGAAGATTAATCAGAATTCTAAGGATCAAATTAACTTTTGATCTAAGTAACATCCATTATAATAAATGTAAGCCAAAAATCTCACTGATGGAACTTTAAGGATAAGATTAAGAAACTGATGTAGAATGTCCCATTGAAAAAATAGTTGTAAGAGGAACAGGATCAAAAGGAGGAATGGTGCTATTTGCAAACCAAAAGAAAGAAATTTCCTCAGAGAAACTGCAATCATTTAGTAGATAAAAGTGCTATTACAAGATCCTTTTATCTACAGCAGCACTTCTGTATCACTCTCTTCCTTTTAACCCTTCAAATTGTTAGTCAAGGGATGCAATAATTCCAAGTTATCCCCATTTAAAGTTCCCAATTAAAACTTTACATGATCTCCAAAATACATTCTTTCCTATTAATATTCATAGAGAAGAAATCATTAAAACTTCAAAATTAACTGCCCCAAATTCTTTACACATGTAACACTTCTTGAAACATCTCTAGGTTATAGAGCTTTTTTGGAAAGCCATCTCTGTAACAGAAATCAGAGTGGTCTTTGAAGAACAATTACTCTTGCTCCTTTAATATCTACCACTTCTCATTAAAAGGATTGAAAGACCTTTACATCATTTTATTAGGAAGAGCAGAACTACGTGTTGAACTCCTTCATTAGCTGTGAAAGACTGTTCTAGGTCAGGTCTTTGGTAGAATCCTGTGATATGAGAGGAAAGGATCCTGTTCAAGACAGTCATTCACAGCCTGAGCCCTCAGCCAGAGGAAGGTCAAGAATTCCTGAAACCTGGTTTGTAGCTGCCTCAAAGATCTCTTATGCCAACCCAACTACACCTACACGAATTTCTTTTAATGCAGGAGGGAGAGTGAGCACAGCACTCAAACTTCTGGCTCTCAACCTGCTCCTGTTGACTTTTCTTCACCTGAACAACCCACGAAATTTGAAAAGCCTCTGAAGTCAGTCTTACATTGATTTCACAGGTGACACACATGATTTCACATGTCTGCTCTAAGACAACACCACCACAGTTCAATGGCACATCCACATGTGTTGTACAAGAAGAGAAGAAGCTTTAGGCTTCACCTCTACATCATTAAGGACCACATTTGGAGCAACTCAGCCATGAGGTCTTTTTTTATAAATTAGTAGAGGGGCATTGAATTAAAACATGATCCAGAAGTCTCATTGCCTGTTGAATGGCAGGAAGTACAAAAAGAAAACGTATGCAGTGTTCAGCCCAGCTCAGAGAGGAGGACACAGTTCTTATCAACACACTTACTGAAGTTGTGTGCAACTTTTCGGTCTAACATGATGTGCTGAATCACTGAAGGCTCATTGCCTGAAAACACTGCTGTGTCCTGGATCTGGAACTGTTCACTGAGTCTGGATACATCAATTTTCTTCTTACACGGGTCACGTGATCCCCAGAGAGATTTGTGAATCTAAAAATATAGGAGTGACACAGGGTAAACAGAAAGCCAGAACAGAGGCACTTTGATCCATCCAAACACAGAGAAGGTCATTTTGTGGCACAGTTGTACTTTTATAACTATAGATGTAACACAATGCATAAATATTTTTTTTTCTTTAACAGCCACCATCAGTTTCATCCTCACCTTATCAGAAGGAACAACATCCCAGTGAAAGGCTTTGGTTCTCTTTGCTGCTGGAGAGAGGCTGCAGGGCTGTGGAAGGGCAGGAGGGGCTGGTGGTACCTCGGCCCTACTTATGGGAAGTGGAAGAGATGGTGATGCTGGGGCTGCTTCCCCCTCTGCAGGCTTTGTCTGTGGACTTGGAGACTTGTTCAGACTGGTCCTTGCAGAACTCACACCAAAGTGCAGAGTCTCCTCTTTCTGTTCATTCAGAGGTACAATGAATTCCTCATAATCAGATTCAGGGGAGGTGCATCCTTGAGATTCCTCCTGAGGTGGGGAGGCCCCCTGGCCCAGCTGACAGTACCTTTCTAGGAGAGACACCCATTCATTCTGGAGCTTGCCAACATCCTCTGGCCTGCTGTTTTGGACAGTAAAGGGTATTCGAAACCTGAAATTTAAGAATGTCATATATAAACATGAGGCAGTGTAAATACCATGCTGACTAACACAGCCACAGAAAGTTCTGATTTAAGCAGAATGATGTTCAGCAGCTTTACTTGTCAAAGCAGTCCAATGCTGCTGACTCTGACCTTTTCAGGCAAAGTTAATTGCTTATGTGTCTAAGGTTAGAGAGCTGAAGTTTTGCCATATATTGACTTTATGGTGCAGTTACCTCATAATTCCTCCTCTCCACCTTGGGGGAAGGTGAACAGCTTGTTACACTTTGCTGTGCTTGTTGCACAAGGAGAACCTGCTCACACATCTGTCCTACCAAGCTGAATGTGCATCTCCTCTTCCCTGGCTCCTGACATGACAACTAGACAAGTTGCTGTGGGCAGTGTTTCGGTTTCATGATATGGTACATTTGATTCCTCCTGAAAATCCTCATCAAATCACTGCAGAGCAATGGGAGCGGGAATCTATATCATTCTGATGGCCTCGTTTCTCCAGTATTGTTATTTTATTCTGAAACATTGAGGTCCTCTGCTGCTTGACCTTGTTTTCAGTACTTCTGCGTTAATAAATTATTAATTACCAACTATACTTACAAGTAATTGTGATCTTTGGTCTGAACTGAAAAGGTGCTGCATCCATTCTCCTTGCTGACACTCACATCCCCACCTGACAAATTAATTGTGTTTGCTCCAGGGTCTGCAGTCCTGTTCTTTCCTCCCAGACCTATGCAATATAAACTCAATTCTCCTTCACGTAGTTGCACCAAGTACCTGAAGGACAAGGAATGGACATACAGCTCATTCTTCATTGACTACTTAGTTACACAAGCCTTACTTTTGTTATGGCACTTCCTAAAATCAATAAATCTCCACATTTTTACAGCATCTTCCATGGGACAGGCAAAAAGTATCAATGCTAAAGCATAAAGGCTTTGAGACATTCTTATTTGAGGGCTTCTTATTCTTATCTGACACATAAGTAAACTGACACCAACTCTGAACAGCCTACCATGCCCAATGAGAGCTGAAACAGAGATCTGACCATCAACTAAAAATCACCCAAGCCCTGTTAATTTTTTAGCCACTCTCTGTCCCTCCCACTCCACTTCTTCCTCTTGTTTGTTTGGGAGGGTGGATCACTTGGACTATGAGCTTTTAAAGGAATCCCCTGTGTGACTGAGCAGTGCATAATAAGACAAGGCTTCAGAGCTTCTGTGTCTTCCTGGTTTCACTGCCCCCAAGCTATAAACAAGTCACCAAATTTAGTTCCCAGTCATATAGGCCAATATCCCTCCCTCCCAAAAATCCTGTTACTCCATGGGAACCCAAGCTGGTCCCACAAGTCACTTGGCAGGAAAGGGACAAGGCTCAAGGGTTTCCATCAGAAATGACCGTGCCAAAATTTGGGTAAAACCTATTTAAAGGATAAATTAATCCTGGAAAAACACTGCCTTGACCATACACAGCTTGTGATTCAGCAGAACCTTCTGCTTTAGTCTCCCCTCTGGGATTCTGTTCTGCTGCTCAAAACAAAAGTCCCCCATTCAACAACAGATGAGGTTTTACTGTATGTGGGTTTTATTCTTATTTAAGCATTTGTGGTTTCATTTTTCTTGAGGATTTCTGCCTTTCTTTATCATTCTGACAGTTCTATCAAACCTTCCTTTTCCTCCACTCTCTCTTTAAGGTGTGGCTGGTTGATTAAGGTGTTCTATGAGGAATTTAAATAAGTTTAGCTGCTCCAGAAGAATTAAACATAAAATATAAATTGCATCTATTCCCACATAAACAGTCAAAGTGATAAGAATTGTTTAATGGAGCTGGCAGTTATATTGATCTCTCCTTTCTTTAAGGCAGAGACTTATAGTTTAATCGGATCTCCAGATGCTTCCACCATTATTTACTTTGCCAAAAAAAAAAGCAAAAAAAAAGGAAAAAAGAGAAAGGATTAATATAAAGAAGAAAGCAACAAGGGTTTTGCTTCACAAGATAAATAAAAATCAATTTTTGTTTGTTAACAAACTTGTTAACTGTTGCAAGGTAACAAATCCTGGACACACTTGAGGATAGTGTTTACAAGACATGCAGGCGTAGCCTTTTAAAAACAATTAAAATCATTTTCTGTGAAGGGTGTTGAGATAATTGCTCCATGCAGATAATTACAATGTTAAATTTTTTTCCTTAGTTTTGCTAGACAGATTCCCCCCCCCCCCCCCCCCTTTCTTTCTCTCCTTTGGAAGCATAAGCAACTTCCAGGTATTTTAGGAGCTGGCTCAGGGAAGGGTGGTTTGTCTGCGGAATGGGGAGCAAAGTACGTAAAACCACTGGGGCTGCTTCACTAATCCAGCAACAGAACAAGCAGAAGCAAAAGCTGTGCTGATCTGGGATGGTTTAGGGGCTGAAATGGTGATAACAGCCCATTTCCTACTGGATAATGATTCCTGTCTCCAATCCCACCACCCCATCAGGCCTCCATAGCTGGTGACCCCCTAGGAGGGGAGTTCAGAACATTATGAGAAGGAATTATGAATTTTGGGGCAGCCATTTGGCCAGTGTGAGTCAATGTTCTCTAGAAGGACTCCTATACTTCTCCAGTGTCTCCTTGTCCTTATTACTGAGAATGGAGGGGAAAACAAAGATATAAACATAAAATCCCACCATTAAATCCCTCTGAGCACCATCACCATTACAGATCTGTGTTGCTAATGGACCCAGCAGGCTGCAGCACACACCAGAACTTTGGTTTATTGGGACCACTATTGCACTGAAAGTTTACTTTAATGTTTCCATCTCATGCAGATTTGCCATCCACCTTTTAACTTTCAAAAGCAATTAAATAATTAACTCATTATCAGCAAATTAAACTCTTAATGCATTTATCAGAAATTTTAACAAAATCCACAGCCCAGAGTTCATACTTCACCCATTCAGTGGATGCAAAAGTGTTTTGCTGCAAATCCAGCAGCCCTTCATGTATCACATCCCATTCTGCAGGTCTCCCAGAGCAGGACTCCACTGGTCTCTTGTATGAATTGCTCTGTAAAACTCTACTCAGGAGGTATATTATCTAGATAAAAAGTGGCAGCAGAGAGAGAATATTTCCATGTTAATTCCCTTGAATAAGACATCAATAGTTGGATTTTTCAAGTCCAAAGATGACAGACAACACTCTAAGCTACAGCCAAATACGTAAAACAAATGAACATAAAATAAATAATTTATGCTAAACTGCTTAACTGCAATTTGGCTTTATGCCCAAGATTCTAAACCCATCAGTGTAAGGAGAATACAATTTTGTTTTGGAGGGATTACTGTAAAACTTAACTTTACTTTTTTAACTCATACACAAAGTAATCTAGGACAAAGTGTCTGTTCAGATCAGTTCAAGCCCAAGTAGCACCTGATTGATTAAGCCAGAAACCTCAGGTTTGGCTACAGTGGAAAATATTATGGATTAAGGTGGGTGTGAATTTAAAGAGCTCTTTGTGCTGTACAGGGCCATATCTGATGTTCTTATTACTAAATACATGTTCCTTTTTGAGCTCTTCTGCTTAATAATCTGTTTTGAACAAAATTAGGCTAATCAATCACGAGGTTCTGCTCATCTAGAAGAAAGGTTTCTGCATGTGGGGTGAATCGCTGGGTTTTGCAGGGAATTAATCCTTCTGAGGAAAAAAAGCCCCCTAAGAATGAGTCACAGCAGAAGTTTGGATGCAAATTCTTCCATGAGGTTTAAAGTTTGTACCTCAGTCTAAATTGTGCAGGGTGTATTCAACGACACAAACTCCAAGAGCTGCCCACCCCTGGACACCTGCATTCAGGTGAAAAGCTCGTGACTTGACTTCTCATGTTTCAGTAGAACTCAAAAGGAGCTGAAATCTCAAAGTGAAGCAGCTCATACAAAATCTTGCAGCACTGTATCATTTAATTAAACAATTAGTTGTACCTAGACTTCATTCCTCTGCTAATTGTGTCATTTCAGCTTCTTTTGATGGTGAAAGATTAATTACTAGGTCTTCTTTTCACAGCATCAGGATGACCTTGTTCATTCTTAAAAGCAGGCATTTTAAGAAATACCTTATACAGAGAATAAAAAGTGCTTAGAAAGTTTCAATTAGTATTCAACTGTGCACATCATCAGGGTTTTTTTGCTTGTTTTCATCCACTCTCAGAGGGGTTACATTCCAGGTGTAGTTGCAGAACTGCATCCACTTTCATATCATGTCTTGAGCTGGCTTTATATCTCCAGTCCCAGTGAACTGTGCCCAAATCCTAAGGCCAAACTTTATCTTGAACTCCCGTTCCCTTTGTTCTGAGCACAAACACACACGGAATAAAGACATTTCTCCTTTTTTGCTCGCACAAAGCACAGCATAACAATGATTGGGACCTGCTGGGTACCACCAGCACATCAACTGTTATTTATAGCAATCTGTCCATGGCATTGTAAAAACTTACCTTCCTTTTATCATCAAGAGACACAGCTTCCAGCTCATAATCTTGTCTCCCATGAAACACAATGGTGAAACGCCTCCTTTCAGTGTCTTCACAGGCTTTGACTTGAGAGAAAGGGAACTGTTTCTTAATAATTCCTTTTTCAATGTTAAAAATGGTCCTTGAGTTGAAATCAATCTGGAAGAGAAGATTCTTCATTACTCGACTCCATCGCTTCTTGTCATAGAAAGGCAAAGACAATATCCCAATACCACCATGCAAAGGCATTTAGGGAAAGGAACAGCTCAGAATACATAGGATAAAAAAATGACATTCCATCATCAAGATACCATACAATATTTGTTTTAGTTACAAAACAGATATTCCATGCAGCTGTGTCTCCCTGTCTCTTTTGATGAATATGTATCAATTTATCACTCTGAAACATTACTTCTTTTTAAATTCCCCTTGTCTCATACAACCCAGTGCAGAATCTTCCCATTCAGCAGCAGTGGTAGCAAGAACTAATGGCAGGACCATCTCAGCAGAGGTTCAGTTACTCCTTCAGCCTGTGCCCCAGCACTGAAATGCAGTGAGGGTGGTTATAGCAGCAGCTTCCATGTCAGGAAAAGAGGGGACTGTTGAGGGATTACTTTCTGATATAAATATTACTGTGTTTTGATTTAGATTTTACCTAACACAGAGTTTTTTGTCACAGAATCACAGAATGGTTTGGGTTGGAAGGAGCTTAAAGAACATTCCATTCCACTCCCTGCCATGGGCAGGGACACCTTCCACTTGAACAGGTTGCTCCAAGCCCTGTCCAACCTGGCCTTGGACACTTGAAGGGATGGGGCAGCCACAGCTTCTCTGGGCAACCTGTGCCAGTGCCTCCCCACCTTCTGAGTAAAAAATTTCCTCATTGAGTTTAAAACCATTTCCCCTGTGTTCTCTTACTACCTACCCAGTTAAAAAAATCCCTTCCTCCCTATTTTTACACATATATATGTGTACAAATAGATGGAGTAATAATAGCCGATAAAATTACTTTAGTGCAGTTTCATGGTTATAACAATTAAAAATTGTTTGCTTCAAGATGAGATTCTTCTTCTTCCACTGCCCAATCTACATTTGCAGGGTTAAAAATTTGCATGTGCAGACCATGCCAACCAAATGCCCACACTGTGGCCTTTCCCTGCCTTCTGTTTATAGCTGGAAACCTTCAAAGCAGAACCATTCTCATTATTATCTCTGACTTTTGAAGGCTGCTGTTAACTAGAGAACTGAAATTAAATTACTCCAGATTCCCAGACTGATAACTTCCACATCTACTACAGCTCTCTCAATTTTTTCCATCAGTTTTATGTCTAAAGAAATAATCTTTTAATTCCAAAACATGGTGGATGTTGAGGGAAATAAGGAGATTATACTTTCTACAGTTTAGATGTAGTAAATAAAAAATACCCTCTAGCATATGTGATTTGGACTTGCTAATTTTTAAATTTTGTCAAAATTACAGGAAAACTCAGTGAAATCCAGGTCCCTGGAAACAACATGAATCCTTTGTCCCTGACTTCATGGAATCAAATCATCATCAGGTGTTGCCAACACAAGCTTGCTTTAATATCATGCAAGTCAATAAAGTCTTAAGGGTTCCTGATATCCAAAAAACGATTCACAGGGTAGAGTAACCAGAGACAAACTGCACAGTCTACCAAATGCACATTGAGTATCCCAGGAATGTTTTTTCCCAAGGTTTTAGTGAGTGCAGTGGAAGTGATGTCCTGTCAAAAGGCACAGATATTTAGGTGTGTTTACATCACTTGTATGCATTTACTCTTGGTAGTTAACAAGAACAACTCCCAGGCAGAGCCCATTATCATCCATCACCATGGGACAACTCATGTTTTGCAGTGGTGAAATAACCTCTTAGATCATCACGTCCCCTTCACAGCACTCCCAGGGGCCTCAGTACAGGGAATGTCAGATATTACCCCCAGAATACTTCTGGTGTAAAAAGTAGAGATTTTTTTCACTATCTTACACCTCTCTGATGGGCTGCTGAACCACAAGATTTTTTCAAGCTGTCTCCTAATATTTACCCGGCAACTTAAGCATAATGTATTTTTATATATTGCTCCAAAAGGGACAATCTTTCAAGTTACCTGCAAAATTCGCTTCTGCCACCGATAGTGTTTGTATTTGTAGATAATGAAGTTAAATTGTGATCCAGTTAACAAATCCTGGGAATCCTGAAAAACAGAACAGAAATCAGCAATACATCCAGCACTGGGCTGACGTTTGCCCACCCAAATCCAAACACATTCTCAGGTGAAATTTCCCTCAGTAGACAGTGTTTAAACAGCTCTAGAGGCTCTGGAGAAGAATTCCACATGGAGATGCACAGCAGCATCCTCCTGGCCTTTTTAATCACCTTAACAAAGATAGAGAGAGGCTATTTGCAAGGGCATGGAGTGACAAAGGGGAATGGCTTCATACAGACAGAGAGTGGGGTTAGATGGGATATTGGGAAGAAACTCTTCACTATGAGCATGGTGAGGCCCTGGAACAGAGAAATTGTGGCTGCCCCATCCCTGGAAGTGTTCAAGGCCAGGTTGGAAGGAGTTTGGAGCAACCTGGGATAGTGGAAGGTGTTCTGCCCCTCTTGCAGCATCTACATGGAATATCCATTACATAGGACACAGGTACCATCAGCCATCAGTACATGTCCTATTTTGTTAGAAACTTGAGTGCATGTGTTTGCACAAGCTGGGATTGTACCTTTGAAAACAGCACAGACATGCCCCTAGTGCTCATACACTTGAATATCTTGCAAAAGAGATCAGGGGAGTGACCTTACCTTCTCAGCATACACCTCCTTCTGTGCCAAATGCAAAGCCCCCTCAATGCTCACTTCTTTATTTTTCACCATGTTCATAATTTTGAGGATCTTTTCCTGGCTTAACTGGAAAATAAAAAAGTCAATCAAATGTTTTTAGAGACTGCTTTTTTATGTGAATGTGGAGGACACAGAGGGCTCATGACAGTTACAGCTCCAGTGTCTGCCATAAAATTACAATTTCGTTTATATTTTATGTTCTATCGACAACCTGCCCAGCAAATAGAAACTCCCTTTGAAACCTGGCAAAAGTCCACCAGATAGCAAATACACAGGGGCTTTTACAATTTTAGGGGATGGGGTGGTAATATCTGGAGATAAAACTGCCACGGGGAAACCTTTTTTAGTTAGAGAGTCTGGCAAGAAGTGAAAACATCAATTTTGCATGCTCTCCTGCGTCTTACCCTGAGTGTGAAGTCCTGCATACTAGATAACTTGAAAGAAAAATCAGGAGCATTTTGAAATTTACAGGGTGAAGAGGGGGCAAACTGTTGTTGGTAGCAGGAGGTGCAGCTGTCACATGAACTTAGTGAACCACGTTAACAAGCCGGTGTTACACTTCCCCTTTCTTTTACCAAAACAGCTTCATGTGCTGCCAACCAGCTTGCACACAAATTTCTGTCACTCTTGAGAGAACCAGGTGGGGATTGCAATGGCAAACAGGAATCAAGCAAAGACAAAAGGCAAGTGGAGTCACCGGAGACCCAGAGCTACAGCTGTTACACCACTGGCAAAGCTCTTTCACAGACTTTGTAGCAGGAATAAACCTTCCTTTGAGAGAGACCAAAGAGCTCCCATGTGTGATATCCGTTCTTCAATAGCAGTAGAATAGGGAATTGGAAAGGAATGTGTAGGTTTTACCACCAGAGCCCAGAAACTTGTAGTATTTTATCCAGTAGCTCCACTACTCAATTAGCTACAACATCCAATGTTCCCCTCCCCCGGGAGAACGACTTCACCACCAGGAGAGGAGTTACTGCCGTAAAGTCTTTCTTTCAAATCATCCTTTTCAAACTCTTCCAGGTGGACATCCAGGCAAACAGCCCACCCCAGGCTGTGCAGGAGCAAGAGGAAGGGGCAGGAGGCTTGGGAAGGAGCTGGAGCTCACAAGGCACCTGCCCCTGCTCTGCCTGTGCCTGCATCTCTCCACAGATAGAGCACCCTCTGCTAAACAGCCCTGCAGCACAAGGTCCTCTCAGAATCACAGAATCATCGAGGTTGGGAAACACCTCCAAGGTCATCACCCAACCTGTGACCCAGCCCCATCTTGTCACCCAGACCACAGCACTGAGTTCCACGTCCAGTTGTTCCTTGGACACCTCCAGGGATGTGTTTCTTGAACGCCTCCACCCATCCAAGCACCACAGCCACCTGACACAGGTCTGATGGGGCACATAAAAACAACCAGTCCCACCACAGAGGTGGTAAATCCACATGTTCTCTCCCTTTATTTAAACCACACCACACCAACCACACTTCAACCTACCAGATTTCTAAACCAGTGTCTGACCGACAGACACACTGTTTTTACAGCCCACAAATAAAACTGTGGGTAAAAGTAATGTTTTGGTTTTAAAGCCTCGGAATTTTCAATGCTAATATAAAGGTAACTTATGGCATAGCTCCTAGCTGCCAACAGTAATGTGAACAGTGAGGGAAGCAGGAAAACAGCCTGATAATTCATTCACACTTGCAGAGGCGCAGGAGTTTCCTACAATGACCTCCACACTCAGTATTTGAATTTTAAACGGCCATATATTTACAACGTCACATGCACTGTGTAGGATTAGATCTTAACAAGATAATTCCCCACTGAACAGGCTCTGGGTGAGTAAACAAGAGTATGGATATATTTGGATTGAAAAATATAGTTTCCTTAAGGCTAAGCTCTGCCAGCTTTAAAATGCAAGATCCTATTTATTCAGGATAGCAGCTCTTGAGAGGAAGTTGTAGAGTATTTTTGCCTGTTAGGCCTTTTTACATGGAGAAGGGTTCAAAGATTTTTGCAGCAGGATGACCATTTTTTTCAAATTTAATTTTTAATACATTTTTTCTTTTAAAGTAATTGCAGAAAAGAAGGCACCTTTGGCTCTGTGTAGTACTCAACTATTCATTCTTCTTACCTTCACTGAGGTCTCCTTTAGACTAGAATAAAATTCTGCCCAAGACATGAAAGCAACAGGGAACACCTCTTAATTTGCTTGATAATGTGTGAAGAAAACAATGTTTACAGGAGAGAAACAAATAATTCTATGTATTTCAAATTCAGAGAGTTTAGTTAGGAACTTAGACCACTGACAGAGTCCCTTCCCCAGAGAGCACACAAGGCAGTGCTTGGGGGAGGTTATTTTTAACAGCACTCTGTTGTTTTACTACCTCAGTTAACTCTCTCTCTCTCTCTGCACATCTGTAAGCAGGAGGGAAACATTTCAAAAGACAAGAGAGGCAAAAAAGGCACTTTTCAACTTGTGAGAACTGTCAAAATTATTTGTCAGAAGTCTGTTTGGCTCACTTAGGTTTTTGACAGCCACACGTTAACATGGTATTTTCACTTGCAAACAAGACTTGAGTAACAGATCCTGACCTTTATCACTGTGTATTTGTAGGGCTTTTCTCTCAGCATGACACGATTTTTGTAGTGTTTATTCTCGTGTTTGTTTTGCTTATATTTTTTCTTAAAAGGAAAAAAATTTTGTCATAATATCCACCAAAATGCCACTAAGTCAGTCTATGCTATGTTACCTGATAGAAGGTGACTGGGGCACCCAAGCAGAATGTTTTTATACAAGGCTGGATCATAAAACTTAGAAAAAAATTAAATGCTTCTATTATAAAGCAGGCACATTAAGGAAATACATGAGATTGTGTTAATAATGCATTCATTTACCTGCCAGGTTAAAGCAGCTTGTTTAACACAGATTAAATTTTCATCACCCACCCAAAATTCAGCACAGCCACGTAATTGATTTGAAAGAAAAATCAACATTCACAATTGAAGGAAGAGTGTGAGGCTCCAGACATTCTCTGGAACAAGAGGTGAGGTTTTTATATTTTTGGCCTAGGCATGGTATAAAATGTGTTTAACGGTGAGACAGAAGATTTCTGGCTTATTCTTGGGCAGCTGCCAACACAGCACTGCACATGAGCCCTTCCAGGGTTTCCTACCTCTCTCCATTTACCCAGCACAGTCTCACTGCAGCCCTCAGAGGACCTCCTGGAAGGTTCTGCCTGTAGTCTCCACATCATGGAAACATCACTGTAATGACTCCACAAAGGTCCCCTGACCTTCCTGGGACTAAATCAAGAAAGAAGGGTTAAAGCCACATCATCTGAGCCATCCACAGTTGATTGAGCAAGGCAGTGGAAGGCACACAGGATATGGGTAACTGCTCAAGGATAGCACAGCAAACATGTTCCTCTGCCTTTTGTTTCTGACTCTCAGCCTGTAATACACACTGGTTCACACCCCCCAGGCAGCCACAGGATGGCTGTGAACTCCTGTGCACTCACCTGAGACACCTGGGCTCCTCCAGGGGAGGCAATTCAACCTGCCTTGATATCTGGCAACTCTTTCCCTTCGCTACCTGCAGAGGAATTTGAGCTACATGGCTTTTACTCTGCTTATCCTTATTCTGTGGACCATCCTGCCTGAATCATCATAACACGACAGCAGTCTAATGCAAAAATACTCCTGGAATGTGTGCACGTGCACACCCAGAACCATGGCTGTCAGTGAGCCCTGCACAGGATCACAATCATTGCAAACACTGGCACAACTCACTGAGACATTATTTCAGCTTCACTTAGGAGAAGATCATAGCTAATGTGCACCCAGCTCTATCATTTCCTGTGACAACAAAACCAAGCCATGCAGAAATCCTGCTCCCTGTGCAAATGAGGAGTGATTTTTATTCAAGTCTAGTGAAGCTTTTCGCTGTTAAGGATTCCTTACACTTGTCCTTGTTAAACATTAACAGTGTTGAACATCCTCATCTGATCGCTGCAAGGAGCAAGAGACACAGCAGCTCCCAGCTGTGCAGGGCCCAGAAGGGAGGGCTGGGCTGAGGGAGCCTGTTCCTCACACTCTGTGCTCCACAGCATCTCCCTTTTAGCCCCTCTAGGGTCAGTGCTCCACAGGGGCTCAATACAAGAGAAAAAGGTCAAGTAGTGGCTACATGTTGCTTTACAGAGATCTCATCAACTTCTGGGCATCAATCTGAATGCTAGTGTTGTCCACACAGCAAGAAATATCCTGGATTAACATACACACATCTTTTAGCCAGCACCAGGTCATGTTTTCACTCATTTTGGAGTCTGTTTTTTTAGTACAGCTTTCAATAATAGAAGATTTTGGTTTCTATCCAGAACAGCAGGATAAAATGTCTTTGAGGTAAAGCCTTCTGAGGATTTTCTGTTGACTCAGTGCCTCCCAGCTACAGTGCACAACACTTTCTGCAAAGCAAGTAGAGTAGAGAAGCTTAAAGGTAAGAGTTGGGATGTAATGCAGTGATTGACCTGTGATGAAATTTAGAGCAGTTACTTCCTTTTCCAAGCTGTGTTTTCAAATAAAACACTTTTTATTTTTCGTTAAATCAAAGGCTTACTTTACAATGGATTATGCTGAACTCACTCTACCTGCATGTTGAACATGTCATTTAAGAGATTTTAACGGCAGTGGACACAACTTGGATTGTCTTAAAGTTCCAGTTTGGTGTTATCAACTTTCATCTCCTAATATATTCACTTTCATCAGGTTTGAACTTGGCTCAGAGTGCACTAACTGCTCCCATTTGTTTACAGGGGAGTGGCTGTTTCCTATGACTGGGTATCTGAAAGGCCTTCACTTGCCATTTACATGAAATATCAATACAGGTGACTGATGTGATATTTTGATGTGGCAATACCATCTTTTGTAGCCAGTCCTAGAGACAGACTAATATTATTTGTCAAACAGAGCTGCTATTCGTCACATAAATTATCCATCTGTAATAATATTTTGCATTATTTGTTCAGGTCTATATCTGGCTGAATAATATCTGTCAACATTTATCCAAAGAAGAAGGTAT